TTACTTGGAACGAAGTTTAATCTGTAATGTATTTTTCATTTTGTTCGATGACCTTTTGACATCTCTCTGACAACTTGAAAATTCCACGCTCGTAGAAAGTCTGATCGTTTTCGGCCGAAAACTGAGTTAAGTGAGATTTTACAGCGTCATCATCGTTAAAAGTTTTACCACGAAGAGAGTTGTCCAGGGATCGAAATAAGTGGTAATCCGATGGCGCGAGATCAGGGCTATATGATGGGTGTAACATTAATTTCCAACCAATATCCATCAATTTTTGCCGAGTGGACAAAGACGCGTGCGGCCTAGCATTGTCCTGCTGGAAAATGACACCTTTACGATCGACCAATTCTGGTCGCTTTTCCTTGACCGCTGCATTCAATTTGTCCAGTTGCTAACGTTCACGGACAATAAAAAATAACATAATAATAATAATAATAATTTTATAATATAATATTTACAGATATCATAAAAATGGGAGTGAGAGACATCATAACTGAAATTGGCAATTACTTAGTTGCCGATCCAATATATATAAGGGTGTGTATATATGTATATAAAGGGTGTTAACACCTCCACGACCGCGCTGGAAACCTAAAAAATTTTCATAAAATTAAGATATTTCATTCGATTAAACGAAAATTACGAAGCAAACTTATATGGCATTGATTGCTTCTTCAACATTCGTACATCTTGCAAATCTTAATAAAATTAAGCGATCATTTTTCATTTTTCATTAATCATCCATTCGGTCGTCGATCGACTGAATTTAAAACGGGGAGATCTCCCCGTTCGGTTGGCTCAGTGTTAATATATCGATAACAAAATCTACTCGAAATATTAGCAATTTGTCTTTTATTGTCCCTGAAGGAAGTGAAATTATTTTCTGCACAACTTAATAGTGGAGGCACCAAGTATGAAAATCAAATGACAGTCGCATGAAGTAGAAGTAGAGTGCAATAGACAGACAGGGTAGTTCACAGTTTCAAGGCTTCAGTATTGGCATGCCAATGATCGGGACAGAAATGGAACTATTATTACTATTTTATTATACTATTATTATAATATGCCATATTTATTATTATATTATTACTATTATTATTATTATTATTATCGAAGCCATTTTAGCTGTAAATCTAAATTAACTTTTCTGACTTATAGTATTTCCATTTTATTTACAACAAATTTAATATTAAATATTATTAATATATCAAATATTTCATGCATATGAAATCGAGTCTTATGACTCGTACCACAGCTAGACTTTTAACGACCTTTTTATACCTAAGCTTTGATAATATAAATATTATTTTGGAACGTGATGTAATAATTTTTTAGTGATGCCTCAGAGTCACCACTCGAGTGCAAAGGGTTGACCCCTTGACATACCATTTTCTTTGCAGTTACTGCGATTCGAAATTTCTCAATCGCAATAATTTCTTAAAAGGGAAAACAAATTAATGCTTATCGTATGCCTAAATTTGCAGCCAGAAATGCTTAAATATCGATGACACGAGATTAGAATTTTATTCCAATTTTAAAGAACGGTATAACACATCTGTATCGAATAAATTATTAATAGAAATCTTCACGCCAAGTCGGACTCGTCGAAGTGCGGCGAGGGGTTAAAAATAAGCCGTTAATTCTAATTTTCACTAAACACGATCTCTCAATTTTATTTCGACTTTGTACGATTTTTCAACATTTATACACTGCTCCAACCACGATGGTCGTAAAAATAATATTCCATTTATTCCAATTTCCGCGAAATAATCCACGATGTATCAGCACACGTTTCTGCTATAAATAATAATCTCGACGTAGCAACGGTGCACGATAATTTTACTTATTCGAATCAACTTATTCAAATAGCAGAGCAATTAACAGAACGTTACAGCGACAGGCAGATTTTGTTGGCGAGGGTAGACGGCTCTCGCGAGATCGAACAAATTTCCTTCGGCGAGGCGAATTCCGCGAGCAGATAAATGGCGATGGGCTCCGCGCGATGGGTTCGATTCAGAATTTAAAGGATTTCGAGGGATCCCTCGCTGCCTCGAACGCAACGAGCGCGTTTTGTTAAGCCGCGAACGGGGACATACGGTGAGCGATGTATGCAGCTTTCAATGGCCGAGGGATCCGAATACGCCCGCATAGATACGCACTATGCGTGCTTAATTTTCGCGTTAGCTCGACCGATCCATTGCATCGTGAAAAAAAAAATTCGTCGGACCGACACGGAGGTGGGCGGCTGCTTCGAACGGGGCCTCCGGAAAAACCTGAGGAAATGCCGCCGTCCACGTGCGCAACTGTTTCGCGAAGAAATTGAATTCGAATCCTGCGTTTTTTTTCGTGCCGGTAACGTTCGACGCGACGGCAAAAGGATGCGTACGATGAAAGCGTGAATTAACTTTGCTGGATCAAGATGGCTCTCCGATATACGTTTCACGGAAATAGTTGCTCGAAAGGCGTACCATTTGACCAAACTGTGATCTAGGCTTTAATTTATTACGTTTCACCGATGACTCTGTTAATTGTAATAGAATTTTTTGATAATATTATTTGCAGAAATTGCAGTTGCTGAAAGCAAATGTTAACAATTTGTCTTTTACTTTCTCTTGGCAAAGCGGAATTATTTTCTGGACAACGTTGATATGCTAACAATCGGGACAAAAATGGAGCTATTGAAAATAAACTGTTAATTCTAATTTTTAGTAAACATTCGTGATCCCTCAATTTTATTTCGACTTTATGAGATTTTTTAACATTTAAATGCTGCTGCAACCATAAAATATTCCTTTAGAAAATAAATATAATAATAATATATAATAAATACAATGATATATAATAATATATAATAAAAATAATATTCCTTTTATTCAAATTTCTGCGAAATAATCCGCAATATATCTCTGCATACATAATCGGCGAAAAATGAAGTACGCGAAGAAACAGTTAAGAGTTAACCCTTTGCTCTCGAAGCCATTTTAACTCTGAATTCAAAATAATTTTTCCGACTTACAGTATTTCTATTTCTATCGACTCAAATGCATGTTATATACGTGAAATAAAATTTTGTGACTGGTATAACAATTACACTTTTAACAGTTATTCGAGTACAAACAAATCTGATAATGTTGAAATTATTTTGAAACGTTATACAACAATTTTTTAAACGGTGAGTCGGAGTCACCAGTCGGGTGCAAAGGGTTAAAAAATTGTCGTTCCCGCGAACGTAGAAAATGGCCTGGGAGCTTTGAAAGCGTAACGTAAAAGTTAGTTTCGTCGGGATTTGTTAAAGTTCTCTCGGTTGCAAAATTGATTTGGAGATCCGCGAAATCTCGATACGGGGATTTGTGAAGCAAAGAAAAACGGAAATTTGCGAAC